CAGCTCGGATACCCCCACTGTCTTCCTCTGTCACCTTCTCCTAGTTGCTAGGGCTGCTGTGAGGGTCCCCCCTAAAGCCGTTTCATTGCCAGGCTGAACGAGTCCCACTCCCGCAGCATCCCCTCCCCGGGTAAACGTGCCCGTCACCAGACCCAGTTGCCTTTACCTGCACTCACCCCAAACGCCTTTCACGTACCTGGGCACAAAACCAGCAGCAGTATTTTAGGCACAATCTTAAAATGTCGACTGAAAGGGAACAACCACTCCCTCTCCTTTCTCCATTTCTCCCCTTGAGCTAAAGAAAAAGCAAAAAAGAAATCCTCATCAAGCTGTCAAGCTTGGTTTCCTGAAGTAATACAATTAAATCTCTATATGGCAACGTGATCGTCAGTTCTTCCTCATCTCAAAAGATGCTCCTCAAACAGCATTCGGCTGTTGCTCTCTTCCACCCCCTCCTCCCGGTTTTCCTACCCGCCACTGAGTGCAACAGAGGCTGCAGCTTTGGAGCCAAAAAAAGGTGCGATTTGGAGAGTGCAGCGCAACGTTGTGAGTGGCAGAAGCGAAAAGGGAGAGAAGCAACCTTCGAAAGCCTGCCTTCTGCTGCATCGGGTGTGCATTGGCAAAACCTAAACTCCCAGAATTTTCTCACAAAATTTTTTTTTAAAAAAGGCAATTAGAAGACCTGCTGGATTTGGCTGCTGCTTTTCTTTCCCTTGTTCCCTCAAAATGAAAAAAAAAAAAAGTTCTTTCTTTTGCTTAACAGCACAGTCAGTGCAATCTGGGATGTATCTGCCTGCATATGGGAACCCAGTTTTGCCGTCTCAATTTGGGGTTTCCTGACACTGGAAAGATGAAATTAATGCTAAGAACCTTGATGCTGTTGCACTTGGAAGACATCTGCATGAATAATTTTATTTTTTTTTCCTGAGCAAGCTTGGAAATCTATGTGTCCACCCACGTTTTCCCCATTTGGGGGCTGCTTTCCTACAGCCCTGAGTTTGAAGGGGCTCCATTACAATGAATGGAGGGGCACTGAGAGGAGAGGAGATCTCTCCCAGCCCAGAGCCACAGGTGGAGCCAAGGCGAGGGCTGTGGTGGAGTTGAGCATCTGCTTGGAGTTGATCATTCCACCTTCCAGCCACAGGGTTACTGCATGCTCCTTTGCTACGCTGTTCTTGTCTGAGTCAGGTCTGGGTAGACCTCTGACCTGCTGCAGCACAGTGATTTCAGTGTTCACACCTCCTACAACATGAGCAATAATAAACATGATGGTTATTAATGCTAGCCCACCCTCTCCATCCCTGATGGTTCATGCATGCAAAAATGCTGCATAGTCAGTTCAGTATTTCCCCTGGTTCATTAAACCAGCATCCATTTTTCTGCAGATAAGATGGTCTGTCAGGGGAAGGGATGATGGTTACTCATTTGTCACACTTGTTAAATGTGGGAAAGGCTGGCTCTGGGTCACTTCCAAATTTGTGTCAGCTCTGCCTTTAATCTGAGCAGCCTTGTGCCTGCATACCAAGCAAGGCAACTCTCTCCTGTGTGGCATGGGAGAAGGGGAACAAAGGCGTGGTCTCTGCAAGATTTCACAGAGTCAGGGGGTCTCTGAGTGCTTTTAAGCACTTATGTCATGGCTCCAACAAGTCTCAGCTCATAGAGATGAGCGCATATGTTGCCAGGCACGTTGGTCCTGCAGTGACCTCAACCTGCAGCGACCTCAACCTGCAGCTTTAAGCCCCCAGCACTGCAAGCGGAGTCACTCTGTGTGCGTTATCCCTCCAGCCCATCCTATTGGGCTTGTGTTTGGGCTTCAAAGCTTGAGAGGCACAGTGGGCACACAGATGGTGAAAAATATTGAGCCAAGACCTTGGGAATGGCCAATATGAGCTTGGAGCAGGTACATGAAGAGGGAAAAGGTGATGCAATCTCACCTCTGTGCTCCTCCTAACCCTCAGAGGATTCTGGGGTGACTAGTCTGGGTCTTGCCTAAACTAGCACCATCCCAGTGGGCTTTAATTTGCTCCAATTTTCAGATGCCAGCCCAGGGTGGCTGCAACGCGAGTCATTTTGGCTTTACCCTCTTTGGAGGCATTGCCATCGTGACAGGCTACCTCCTTCCTCTGCCAGAGACAAGGACTAGACACAGTCCCTAGATATGTTAGGATGGAAATGCTGATGGCTATGACCCCACAAATCTTGCTTCAGGGAAGGGAGAAAGAAGTAATCAAGAGTGGTTGGGAACAGTTACACCTTTGGATGAGTGATCATAGAGCAGTTCATGGCCAAGATACTTCCCAGGGCACCATGTACTGCACTGCTGGTAGAAACCTTGGCGCAAAACAACTCGGATCTGGTGTGAAAGTGTGCTTTAGTGAGTGTGGAGCAGGTAGGACTGCAGGTCCTTCTGGTCACAGCTTCCCCCATAAATGAAGGTGTGGAGACCTGGGCATGAAGGAGGTGACATCTCATGAGGTTTTTCAGGGAAGTATCCTCATGGTCTGTCCCCACGGCTCACTATGGCACAGCCCTCACTGAGCACAGCCCAAAGACAGCACGTTGATTTAACCACATGCTCAGCAGAGGATGTGTCCTACGGTGGTCTGTCCGCCTTCCCTATCTCCTGCTGCACCGTTGCTGTCATGTGGGCACAAAGGTGGGTTCTGTTGCCTCCTGCCGGCTCCATGGCTGCTCTGCAGCGCCCGGTCTCCCTCCATCGTGCAGCTAGAAAAAGATGAGGCAGCTGCAGCAGATGAGATGAATGAATGGTCAGAGGGGACGAAGAGCTGTATTTTAGTCCTGGTCTTGCCATTCATTTGTGGCGTTTTCAATTCAGGTTGTGTTGATTTGCAGCACCGCAGGCAGCCACAGGCAACCGTCAGGAAAGGCTCCGCGCTCCTGCCTCATTCAGTGGCAAACGCATGGCACCTCCGAAGCGTGGCTCTCAGTAATGACCCTAGGAAGTGCTGCTGTAGCAGCAGGTTGAGACTGCGGTGATTTATTTCTATCCTCTTTAACGCTGGTCCTAGCAGGGGTGGGGCGACCTGCCTGCTTGGCTGCCTCTGTCTGCTTGCCACTGATTGACCATCATGGGAATCACTGAGGTCTTTGCTCTTAAATCTGGATCTGTGCCCTCGTTCACAGCTGCACACAGCCTCGACCTGCAGCAGCATCCCTCACTCCTGCTATAAATCTCTCCCAAGCAGCCACTGGTGACATTAGCATTTCATCTTGTGTACCGGTGGGTACCGGGATCTCAGCCCTCCTAAGGAAGGAATTAACCCAGCAGCAATCAGATATCAGAGGTATCTTTTATTGACTGTTTACAGAAATACAGTAGCAGTCGGTTTAGGGGGCTTAGGTGAGTTCTCCAGAAGATGCTTTCCTTCTCAGCATTGCCAGGAGATCCCAAGGAGAAACCTGCCCTTTAATGCTTTGGGGTTTCTCTGGAGACTTTGGGGCTCCCTAGCATGAACTTCCTAACATCCTTAGATCTCCAGGGGCTGGAGGGTGTTTGAACCAGTGGATGAAATTCACGGGAGGAAAAGGAAAATAAACATCCGTATGTTGGGGGTGGTGGTGTGGTCTGAACACACCTGATATGTTGTGAGGCAGCCCTGCTGTGGTCCCCATCCATCAACGCATGTGCCTCCCTCTCAGCTGGACTCCACTGCTCACCAGAGCTCAGCTGTCTGCTGCTGGGCATGCATCGCTCTGGGCTTGGCACGCTCTTGTCACATGGCTTGTTGGCCATAAAATAAATATTTCTTGATCTATTTTTCTCCCTGTACATGTGTAAGAGTGAGACGCTTTCCTACGGCAGTTCACAAACTGTTGGGGGCAGGAAGGGTATGCTCAGCTGGGCTGATAAACTCATTTAATTTTTATTTAAGTGTTTAATTGGCCCTTTTTTTGCAATCAAGGTGGAGTGGTTTGGTTGTTGTTTTTTTTTTTACGTCCTTGCTACAAGAAACAACTGCAGACACTTCTGGCATAGAGGCATTTTGGCGGCGGCTGCTGTTGTTGGCCTCACTCTAGTAGTCAGTGAGGGGATATCGCAGGAAGATGAAGATAAGAATGATACAGAAGGTGGCAAGGGCTGAGCTGGTGATGTTAAAAAGCCGAGCTGTCTTGGCATCTTCAACTGCTCCATTTAAGTCATTGAGGAGTTTCTTATCCCGGACCTGAGACCAAAAAAAAATTTTAAATAATTGAATAAAATAATTGGGAGATGCATAAAAGACATAACTTGTTTCAAGCAACACTCACAAAACCAAATGCACTTGTAGGGTACCTGTACAGTGGATGAGGGCTGGGTTGTGCCTCTTTGTATTTGAATCATAGAATAGTTAAGGTTGGAAGAGACCTCTAAGATCAAGTCCAACCATCAACCTAACAGCACCATGCTCACTAGACCATGTCCTGAAGTGCTACATCCACAAGTCTTTTTGAACACCTCCAGGGATGGTGACTCCACCACCTCCCTGGGCAGCCTGTTTTAGTGTTTGAACACTCTTCCAGTAAAGAAATTTTTCCTAATATCCAATCTAAACCTCCCCTGGCGCAACTTGAGGCCCTTTCCTCTTGTCCTATTGCTTGTTACTTGGGAGAAGAGACCAACACCCACCTCATGACAACCTACTTTCAGGGAGTTGTAGACAATGATAAGGTCTCCCTCAGCCTCCTCTTCTCCAGCAGAACACCTGGTGCATCATAAAGCACCCCAAGGTGGGGTTTGCACCCCAGCTCTGCTATGGGTTGAACTTGTGAAGCCAAGCACTGTAATACCTGTGAGCTGGAAACCTCTGGGAGTGGAGAAGACTGGGAATAGTGACCTGTTGCTTTTGGCAACCAGGCAAACCAGGTCCCTGTGGCCCCCAGTGTGGGCTGCATAATTTTGAGCCCTAAGGTGCACAAAGGAACTGAGGTGCCATCATGCACCCCATGCACATGGGCACAAAGCATCTTTCCCACCGTGTCATAGCTCCCTGGCCCTGCAGCACCAGGCTTCAGCTCACCCAGCCCGTGAGTGAGAAGGCTGGCTGCAGTTTCAGTGTGCATCCTTGTGTCTCTGTTGGTGCTGAGGGGCTGAGCGGGCGAAACCTGGCATGGCATCCAACTGCAGCTCCAGGGCTGTGCACGAGCCTCCAGCATATTAAGCAGTCCCGTGTTAATGAGTTCCTTCTGCAGGTCTTATGCGGCTTGCGTAGCGTCTCTGCTACTGGCAGTTTTCAATCCTGACAGCGCCGTCTGCTCTCTTCATTATCCTGTGGGCTGGGACTTTCATGGACTTACCTTGGGACACCATTGCAGTGGGTAAGGATTGTGCACTGGCCTGCCCCCACCTCCTTCAGGCTGCCAGCCAGTCCGTGGCACTGCCAGGCAGCGATGGCACCAGCAGGCAGTGGATGGCACTACCAGGCAGTGATGGCACTACCAGGCAGCAGATGGCACTGCCAGGCAGTGATGCCGCTAGCAGGCAGGGATGGCACTGGCAGGCAGTGCATGGCATCACCAGGCAGCAAATGCCACCAGCAGGCAGCGATGGCATTGTCCAGCAGCAATGGCATCATCAGGCAGCAGATGGCACAAGAAGGCAGCGATTGCACAGCCAGGAGGCTGATGGCACTGCCTGCCAGCAGCAGTTCTGCAGTTTGAGCCCAGCAGATGAGGGGTTGGGACCGGGCTCCATCCCTTCCCAGCAGGGATCTGTCCCTGTCCTCAGACTGCCCCTTCAGCCAGCACTCAGCAGACCCAGGCAGCTGGAGCCCCGAGGATATGGGATGAAAGGAGCAGGAGTCTTTACCCCTCTTCCCTTTCCCACATCTGAGCGAGGTGCCCGGGGCTGGGCATGCCGTGGCAGCGTCTGCTTTGCTGCCCACTTGGCAGCCGGAGGGCTGCGGGCCGGGGCTGTGTGTCTCTCCCAGCCGCCTCCGCTGCCGGCAAGTTGCTAAGTGCCGGTGGCAGGCTGCAAAAACCAGCCCCAGCCTCCTACCAAGAGACACTGACAGGCTCTTATCGAGCAGGAGCTTTCCAAAGAGACTGCAATGGATTCGGACCATGTCTTAGGGACTTTTTCTCACTCCCTCCTGCAGTGCTTACTGATGGGGCTGTACTGAAAGCCTTCTGCGGCTTGCTTGGCTATAGGGAAGGGTTGGTGAGCCCCTCATTCCCACTGAGTCATGCTGGTTCACGGGGTGTCCAAAAGCACATCTCAGACCCTCAAGCAATGTCCCCTCCTCCATCACACCAGTGAGGACCTCTCTGCACGAGCAGCCCCTGCTCTTCAGTAATCCTGGACTGTGGGTAGGGAGGCTGCTGCTGGCATGAGGCCTGTAGGAGCTGGCGCTGGCAGGCAGATAGGCAAGAATGAGAGCTCTGCTTCCCTCCTCGTATTAAATCCTGCGGTGCCGTGTCCTTGGCCTTTGTTGGACTCCACTCCTGGGAGCCTGCAGCTGGAGCTGGGGCCATCCACCCATCACCCTGCTGCTGAGCACTCGGCAGCTGCAGTGCACCCTTCGCCTGGCTCTGTGGCATGCTTGGTTGGTGCTCCCAGCAGCAGAGATGACCTCTGGGAAGGCAGCAAGCTGGCAGCCTGGGAGCCAGCACACCTTTTTGTGTCAGCTGCCTGCCCAGGATGACTCACCTTTGAAATTATTCAGTAGCTTTAGCATCCTCCCAAAAACCCCTGGGTGCAGCAGCACCAGGCAGCCAGCACCTCACCCACCGGTGAGAAGTGCAAAGGTCCCTGCAGCCAGAGGCTCAGGGGCACTGGAATTGGGCCAGAAATCCCACATGCTGCTGCCAGTAGGCTCTTTGAAACTCTCACACGCTTTCCTCTTTCCAGTGATGGGACTGCTGGAGGCAAACCCTGCACAGACCAAATGCCTTTTTCTCCTTTCTCTGCTATAGTCCAGCTGTGGCTAGGAGAGGTTGCTCTCTGCCGCAGGCAAGCTGGTGTTTGCCTTCAGCATTTGCCAGGCAGACAGAGGTTTCTCCTGTAGACTGCCATGGCCGGCACACCGAGCTCTGCAATCCTCCCACCACCAAGCCACTTGCTTTGCCTTTGTGGGGCCACTGCCTCTTGGTCCCATGACCTCTCCCTTGCTCCTTGCCTCCTGCTCCTCCTTTCCCTGGGGTGCCCTGCTGCCCCAATATCCATGCCCAGCCCTCTCCCAGTGCTCCCAGCAGCCTCTCCCACCTGACACCAGTTTGCACTCGTGACGGGTCCTTTAGCTCTTTCCCACCGCCTGCTTCAGCAGTGCCTGCCCTTGACTTTCCCATGGTTCTCCCTCTGTCCTTGAACCAGTCCTACTGCTTCTCAGCGTCTCTAGTGAGGGCTGCCCATAGCTCCCCAGTGCCACCATTTCCTCCTACTTCCCTATTTTGTCTTTCCCATCTCTCCTCTTTTCTGCACTTTGGGCCAAAACTATAGCATAGACAGCTTCCTTCAACTCCTGCCAAAGGGCACCCGGCTGCCCCATCTCCCTGACCTTCCGGCCGGTCCCACCCACCTGCTCCTGCCAGCCCCTGAGGTGCACAGAGCTCTGCTCACATTCCCCATCCCTGGCAGCCCCCTGCCCATTCCCTGCCCACTCCCTTCCCTAGCTCTCCTCTGGCCACCTTGGCCTTGGTTGCTTGGATCCCTCATCCTCACTGAGTACTTGGTTCCCTTGCTCTCCTCCCTTATTATTTCCCCATACAGCCTGTGGCTTCAGCAGTCACCCTCATGCAAATTATCTCTTATTGTCCATTATCATTTATATTGCAACAGAGCATCTAAGTGCCGGACAAGTGCCAGGGCCCCTGCGACACACAAGCGCAATGAAAAGACATTTCTCCTTCCAAACCACTTGCAGCCCTGGCCTCCCACATTTCTCCAGGGTGGCCTTGCCTCCTCCTACCCAGCCTTGCACCCCCAGATGCTCACAGACATCTTCCTTCAATGTCCTACCGCAGCATCAAGCCAGGCTCTGGAGGAGGAACTCTCCTGGAGAGAAGATACGTGTTTTGGCTCCTTTCCTGCTCTGTCCTTAAGGAGATGCCAGTGTCTTTCTCATAGCCCAGCCTCAGCTTTTCCTATTTTCATGCTCCTGTGGTCACCATCACCATAAAGTCCTGGCAGCTGGTGCACAAGCTGCTGGGAGCCCTAGAAGCTGCTTCCTTCCACAGCTGAGGAGATGAGGCATGTTGGGGACAGGCTGCCAAGGTCACAAGGCTGAGCCTCCCCAAACCCAAGTGTGGTGTTTCCTTAGTCAGCTCTCATTGTCACTTTGACACTTCTCACCTAAAATTGTTTGGGGATATTTGGCCCTGCTGTGCACTGAGATATTTACTCTGCATCTGCTGACTCTGGGGTCTCCCCAGGCACCTCAAAGTGCTGTGTGGTGGCCCTTTTGGAGATCCCACCCTGGACAAGGCAAACCTAATCTCTGGTCTGGCTTGACAATGTATATGTTTTCTTGCCTCTTCCATACCTGGCCTTCCACAAAATACATTCTGCTTTTGTGGTTTAACATGCAAACATTCCTCCTCCCCTCTCCCACCTGCAACAGGCAGTTGTGGCCCTTCCCTCTGTTCCTGCTTGTCTGTCACCTCCCTGCTGCTCATCTTGTCCTCCGCTATCTCCAGCTCCCCTTGTCCTCCAACACCTCCAGCATGCCTGAGGGCTCTTTCTCTCCTCCCTCTGACCACTGTCTCCAGCTTTTCCTCTTCTTGGGGCTTTGCCTTCAGCTCACCCTGACTCCTATCATCCCACTCCTTCCTGGTCCTTTCCTCAGCAGCCACTTACCCTTTCTCTGTTCAGGGGGTCAGCCCCTCTTGTTTTTTTGGGAGCAGGGAACTTGCTGTGCGGGTACAAAATGCCGCCTCAGCTTGCAGGAGGACAGGAATGGTTTGTTGATAAGTAGCCTAATGAGGCTGTATTTAAGGCAGCCTGGCTTTTAGCGTGCAGCCCACAGCTGGTTGTCTGCAAACCCATTTCCCTGCAGAGCTCTACATCCCTACACATAAGGAGCTCTGGAGGGCATCCCTGGATTTAGTTGCACTGTGAACTGGTCAAGAGGTCTCCAGCCCATGTACTGTGCTGACACCAGTGTCACAGGGCCGTTGCCTCTGCGCTTCACCCACCTCCATAAACCACTGCTCTTCTCAAAAAAGTGAGCTAAGAGTCCGCCTGAGAGGTTGGGTGCTGCAGCCTTTCTGCTTCTTGAGGTTAATAAATAGCTAAGGGTTTGTGCTGGTCTGCTTCTACTCGAAACAGGGAAGGTCAACACATAAGAAGAGAAGGTAAACAGCCATGCCCAGAGCTGCGTGCTAAGGGCCAGGCAGAGAGTGGGCAGGAGAGCTCAGCTCTCCCGGGGTGCTATCACAACACAAATATCGGTGGCCTCAAGGGGCAGGAAAACTGTGAGCAACCCCATGGGCTGCTGGTGGGGCTTAAAAAGCCAGCAAAGCTTCTTGCCATCTTCAACTCTATACAACCATAACATGGCAACCATACCACAGCCTCGTCTCAGGCCCCAGCTCCTCTGATCCACCGCCTCATGGCACAGTGGGTACTGAGAAGGACCTGGCCTGCCCCGACAGTGTCCAGAGACAGACCTCCTAACAGCTGAAGTGAGATCTCCTGCCACCAGCTTCTGATGCACCATTAATTACCACCTGGAGCTGGGAAAGAGGAGGGGGGGAAACAGCCAAATGTTGGGCCACGGCACTTGCTCCTAATGAAAACCAACTGAATTCAAAGCATTGCTGTTGGAGCGATCCTCACATCTGTGCTGGGCTGGGGTTAAGGTTACTTTAGTGTTTCTAACTTCCCTGGTCCTGCTGTTTATCTCTTCTTCCTCAGCATCAATGCATGCTTACATGTGAGCACCTTGTTTGCTTGCGCTCCAGAAGGCTGACCTTGAGAAGCTGAGATGATAGGAAATAACCCCTGGAGGGATACGTGAGTTGGTGCAACTCCATTGCAGCCCAGCAAGCTGTATCTGATGAGGATCTGGTCCATTATGGGTGTAAATAAAGACAAGGTATGCTGTCACGCTGTTATTCAGAGCGCTTGGCTGGGGTGCCTGTCACACAGAGTACTTGGCTTGGATGTCACAGTCTTTGCCCTCACCTGACTTCATGTGCTTCTTTAAGTAAAATAATAAATTTTCTGGTGCTGGGGTGGGGTTTTTTTGACATTTTTTAGTAAATGGTGCTCACCATGAATTAGCATTTCCCCATAGAAAGAAATCTCGAAGGCTGCAGCTCACGTGCAAAAGGATGTACTGTTCACTCAGCTGCAGCTGATACCAACAAAGGTGAGCATGGGGAAGGAGACAGCTTTATGGTAATATTCAAGTGTACTTAAGCACATAACTGGCTTCCCATGTGGGCACTGTGCTGGTGAAACCAGTGAAAATACTGGGGTGTGCTAAGGTCCATAACGAAACATGTCATGGATTTGAGGCACAAAGAAGGACCTTACTGCTATTAACAGTACAAACCTGGCAAAAGCAGATGATGTTCATGTTCCTGAGGTTGCTAGAAGTTTGTTACTTAAAAGAAATGGACAAAACATAACCTGGGAACTGTTTAACACTATCAGTGCCCTGATGGCCCTTCAGCCAGGAAACTCGTGCTTCACTGGCCGAAGGCTCTGCCTTCAGAGGTCCCAGGCGGCTCAAGGAGGCGAAGGTGCTGCCCCCCTCTTCTCTCTCTCACAGCACCTTACTTGGTCTCTGCAGAGCACAGACGTCCTAGAAAGGCTTGAACTTAAGTTATCTGCTGCAAAATTGTCCTTACATTTAATTGCAGAGGAACGAGAGAAGTCTGTTTAAAGGGACGTCTGTCTCCAGGGCATTCCCGCTTCTGCTTTCTCTGAACTTCTCAGAAAACCCTTACTGACTGTAAAAGAGATGAAAACAACAGGCTTCTGGAGAAATGACCCTAACATGCAGCCTGGCCAGGATGTGTGGAAGGTCTCTGCAGTAGCTGTGGGTGAGGAAGGATCTCATCTTTCTTAACATCCCAGTGGTCTTCCTCAGGACAGACCTTCTGCTACTGCCCCAGGCATCCCCGTTGCCTTCCACCGCTCATCCCAACAACAGCCCACAAGGGCATTCACCATCCGTTCAGCCATTTGCTAGTTCTGTCCTGTGCCTCTAAGGGACATTTTGTTACTGTTTCCCCCCCTGCCACAGAGTCACAGCCACCGGGGGTCTCCAAGAACAGGGCAGAGTTATTTCTACCCACTCAGCTCCGTGTCTGTTTGGGTACCACCGTTAAATCCGTTCAGCTACTGCCTCTGCAGTCCAAAAGCCAAGGCTGGTTTTTGACAGCCATCTTCTATTTTCCTTCCCCTGATTTGGAGCATGTTTGCCATTTGCCTTTCCTCGCCACTGCTTCTTTTTTTTCACACTGTATGTCCTCTAGACCTTTGCGGCTGGATGCTGAGCCCATGGCCCTGCCCTGGCACGAGGCTCTGGCCCCGGGTTACTTCTGGGCTTTGCCCTTCCTTCCACCTCGTGTCAAAGATAGTGAAGGGTCCAGCCTTTAAAAAACTGGTAGGTGGCAGACCCTACTCTGTCCCATCCCCTGGGGATGGGTCAGCCTGGTCCTCAGGCTGTCCTGCCTCCACTGCTGGCTGCAGCCGAGGGACCACATCTACCCAGATACCCACTGTAGCTACTGCCATGTTCCCATGATGTGAAACCCTTTCTTAGCCTGCTGTGACTGTGCCTCCGGCATGGGAAAGATGCTGATCATTAAAGGAAAATTCAGATGAGTGAAGACACAAAAAAAAGGAGGAAGCCAGTTTCATCCCTTGCTGGCTAAATGAGTGGGGGTGTTAAGGGACTTGCTCTCTTCAACCCATGTTAGGCTGCTGCTGCCTGGATTTGCCCCTGGGTCAGTCCTGCTTGTGGTGATGCTAAGCCTCAGCATGATTTAAGCTATTAGATGCCTCACCCAGGCAGCAGTGAAGCCTGCTGCATAGATGGTGGATCAGTGCTCAACACCCATCTCCAGGAAGGGGAAACTGAGGCAGGCACCATGATGCCAGTGCTGGACAAGCCCAGGGCATGGGTCCCTAAGCCTTTTTGTGCAGAGACCCTGATGGGCTCAGGAGCAGCCTCCTTATAGTGCTGGGAACTCACAGGCCAGCTCAGGGGAGCTGGATGGGGTTAATTGATCTGCTTCTGTGACAAAGCCTGTCTGCGCCCCGGCCTTCCTCTAAATGCTGCCTGCCAAAACAAATCAGCCAGCTCCTCTGCCAGCCCTCCACCCAGCCGCCCCGAGCTCTCCACACATCCATTTAGTTAGTTTTGGGGCTGGCAGGCAGGGAATGGGAGTGCAGGCCAGGACCCTCTCTCCCCTCTCCGAGGTGCTGCCTATTTGCTGGGCACCATCCCTGTTGGGCTGCTCTCCCCTGCAGCTACTGGGAGCAACTCAGTCCCCTTCACCGGCTGTGCTCCACACCATCGCCCTCTCCATCAACACAGCTCTATTCCCCCCCCAGCCTTGACACTGTGCAAAGCCCCCCTGCACTCTCTTCACCCTCCTCAGCTTCACAGGACTCTTTCCGTGATGCTGGCAGGTCTCCATGGTATGCCTTGGGATTTATAGGGCTCGGGGGCATAGAGATGGCCACCAGCTCTGGTGTTTTATTTAGGGAGAGGGCAAGAAGGAAACAGGCAGGATTGCCCTGCACCTTGGCAGCCTCTCCCCCCTGCGACTTGCCAGGTGCCAGCTGATCCTGGCCAGATGCTTCTTATTGCTTCTGCCTGACCATCCAATGCTGCCAGATCCTACCCTGACCAGATCTATAACCAACAGGATCCCAAAGAAGGGACCAAGTGCCGGGATGCCTGCACGCACAGCATGAGCTGAGCCAGCCCTGAGCTGCCTGCCTGCCAGCCTGGTGCCATGGTACAGAGGAGCCTCGGAGGGTACCAGAGCAAGTCAAAGCATCTCTTCCTCACCTGAAGCAACATCCCTGGCTCCAAAACACAACTCGCTTCTCCCCATCCTCATCCCCAGTGCGTGCAACCTCTCATTTGGGTGGCAAAGATGTGATTTACATCAGGCGCAACCTCCAAACACTCCCCCACCCCCGTCTCAGGCCACCCCTTACCCAGCGCCTTGCGCTCAGTACTCACTTTCAATGAATAGGCCAAGGCGATGAAGCCGAGGCAGCAGAAGTTGAGGTATACGAAGTTGAAGATGGACCAGAGATAGTAGTCATTCACCTCGGTGGTATCAGGGTAGATTTCGATGACGGTGGTGGGGTTGGTCATGGTCTTCTTCTCCACTGAGTGCTTGCATGGGACCGCTGGACGCAGGCTGTCTCCTTTGCAGCTCTTACTCTCCATGAGATAAACGGCAGAAGAAGGAGACAGGATGGGCGAAGCTTGCCGGAGAGCTGGGGGCTTGGCGATGCAGGCGAAGCAACCCTGCGGGGGGGCCTGGGGGGGTCTCGGGGTCCAGGCCACCCCCTCGAAGGGGCACGGCGGG